CATCTTGTCCTGAGAATACGATCGTCCTTCCTTGAGTTATACTTTTCGTTGGGTTTTATTCCTTGCGTGCTCCTTTACAAATTCATTCCCAGGTAAGAAAATTTACTAACCGAAAAGCAACTTCGTTCCTCGGGGTGCAACCACAAACGCAACATCCAGGAATGGTCAATGCTTTTGGAATTAATTTTTTTATTGAATCGAAAATACTTTCTAACCTCTCTCTCTCTCTCTCTCTCCCTCTCTATCTATCTATCTCTCGAATGAAATTGAAAGAAAAAAAAAAAGGGGAAATATAATTTTGCCGCAGAATGAACGCCATATGTTCGTGTTCGCGGCGAATAAAATTTGGATCTATAGGTTATATTATAGCGAAAAAATAAAACAGAACGCACACTATGTGTGTCGTAGTCTATAGAAATAAACCCGTGACAAAAGGTTGAGGTAGAGAACCAGGCGCCGCCATTGACGTTTACGGCCACCACTCTGCGTTTTCTTCTCTCTTTTCTTTTTTCTTTCTTTTTTTTCTTTCTGTTTCTTTCTTTCTCCATACGATCTGAGCAATTATCTAAGAAAGCCGAATAGACCGCACGACTATTACCTACTACTCGCGGTTTGCCACAATCACGGTACCACCTAGACTTATGAAGAAAGAGAGAGAAAAGAAAAAGAAAAAAAAGTCCCCTTATCGAAAACACTTCTCCTTCTCCTTCTTCTTCTTCTTTTTCTTCTTCGTTGGAAGGAGTAGGATAATTGGTCTTATAGTCCGATAAACAAATAATTTTTTCCTCGAGGGCACACGCGCGATAATATAAATAAAACGTTCTTTTATATATATATATACTGAAAGTAGGTAATTTTTTCTAATCTTTCAAGTATTCTCGATCGATATCAAAATTTATGTATTTTTCTTTTAAACTGTAAAAAAAAAAATAAAAAGAAAAACCTGTGGAAAAGGATAATAAAAGTTGGAGCGAATGATAAGAAGAAAAGAAACTCTTGTCGGGGTAATATACCTAAAAGAATATCGATAGAGAAGGAAAACTAGGTTGTGGTACAGGTGGATGGATATATATTTGGAGAGGTTGGCCCATGCCGCATCGAGGGCAGGTGCTTCAGGGTACCGGTCAATGCCTCTCGAGAACGTCCGTCACTTTTTTACATGGAAACCAGAAAAAGAACGCCGACTAAATTCGAAGGAAGCTCCATTACCACGGAAGAACGACGAAAAGGGACTCTCGGTTCTTTTCTCTCATTCCGCCCCTTCTCCCCCGTACCCTCCCCGAGCCCACTTTTATTCCAATTCTCTTCTATACTTTCTGCTCTTTTTTTTCTAATCGTCTTTTATCCCTATTAACTTTTATTCTTCTATAAAGTATACTCATTTATTTATTTATCCTTATTACAAATAGAATATTTGAATTAACGTTTTTTTTTTTTTCCATTGACAATATATATTCTATAAATCAAATAGCAGATAAATTTTTCTCACCTTGTCCGTGCTTGACCGAGTTGAGTCGTTAAAAGGGTCGAATAAGGTTTGACAGAGACGTCGGATGTGGTTTACCACAAGCTTTCGCTATGTAGTCACCCTACGTTTTAGCGGGTTAGCACCCTCGCGCTTGTCAATCGGCCGTCGTGGCAACCCTCCCTGCTTGCTGCTGTTGCTGTTGCTGCTGCTGCTGCTACTTCGATGACTGTCAGCTGCTTAGCTCGAACGCTTCAACGCCCACGATTTACCTCGTCCTTTATTTACCTCATTTGCCAACAACTCTCTTTCTTTCTTTCTTCTTTTTTCTTTTTTTCTTGGTCACATCAATTTCATAATACAAAAAAAAAAAAAACAAAATTGAAAAATGTATGCGTAGAATTACGATGAAAGATAATTTCAGTTGGAACGTTATCATTGATTTCTTGGCGATAAAATGAAATCTCTTGTTTCCGTACATTGTCTCGAACGGTCTAGAAAGTTTCCCTTCGGTCCAGTCTCTCTCGTGAGTCGACGAATCAGGACGATGGCTCTTCTTCGACGCGCTATGAATCTCATTCGCCACACTGTCGGCTCGTTTCGACACGCATCCATGCTCACGGTGAACACCAAGACTCGCGCGCAAGAACCTTTCTCCGTACGGTTCACAAATTCACACTGGATTTATCGATGTCCATCCGAGGTTCAGAGGACACTAACCAAAAAGCCTTTGTCGTCCTTTTTTGCTTTTTTTTTTCTATTTTTCCTCAAGAATCAACCACGCCAACAAATACAATAACTTATCTAGAAAATACATCATTTTCTAAGCCTCCTAGAAGTTTCTTTTTTTTTTTTTTTATAATATAATACACGAGAGTTGTGTGTTGTAGCTAAAGTTGTGTTAGGTAAAAATAAGTTTCGGCGTTTGTTAAGAAGATCTTACCGATCGTTCTTGGAAGTTAGGAGAAACGAGATGGAAGGAAGGAAGGAAAGTCTCCTCGATGATTTTAATTTATGCGCGGCGTGGCTGGAGGCGTTATTAGTCCTAGCTGGATACGATGGGCGTGACGTCACGCGGCTAAAACAAAGGATCCTGCCGAGGAGCCCATCCCATGTCGGTTCTCTTTCAACCGTGCCGACAGGACGGCGCGAGCCATTGGATCTTTTCTGCATCAACGAAGGTTCGATGTTTTACGCTTCGCAAAGTTCCTGCCCTTAAAGCCCCCTTTCCTGTTCTTTTCTCTCCTTTCCTCTTCTTCCTTCCTTCCTTATAATATTTTTCTTATAAATTATTCCCCCTTTCCGATCGTCTCTTTACGAATGGAAGAAAGTTTTTTTTTTCTTCTTTTTCTTCTTCTTCTTCTTCTTCTTCTAATATAATATCGAAGCTCGTTATCTAAGGAATCGATCAAATTTATGATTCCGTTTGATTCGCAAGAAAACTCTCTTGTAGTATCGATAACGCGTTAAACGCATACGAGAATGAAAGATAAAACGGACACAAATTATAAAGCGCGATAAACGATGAATATCTAGGTACGAAAGGATGTCTTGAGAGAGAGAGAGAGAGAGAGAGAGAGAGAGAGCATAGGTTAACAGCTTCGTTTTAACTTACTCTCGCTAATTATAGAGCGCGTGACCTCTAGGCTAACGCAATTCTCAAAGAGATAGGCAAAGCTACGTCGTCGTCTAGGTATATCTCTTCTATCTAATCAATGATGCTCTTTGCTATTTAATTCTCCATAGTTAGTTAGTGATGTTGCTTTCAAACGTTTCAAACTCTAACGCATATATATATATATATATATATATATATATATATAGATACGTCGTCTTCTTCTTCTTCTTCTTCTTCTTCTTCCTCCATTCGTATGAAAATTTAGTTAAGAAAAATGAAAAAAGAAGAAAAGGGGGAAAAGAAATTGAAAGCTAATTGAGAGATGTCTGCACCGTTGTCTCCGTAGGCCACTGTCACATTGTTCCGACGGATCAATACCTCTAGCCTACCTACAACCTGCACCCACCGAGCTTGAAGAGGGCGTGGCTCGTACACCACCAGAGAGAGAGAGAGAGAGAGATGCTCCCACTCTCTTTCCCATTTTGCCCTCTCTCCCTCTTTCCTTCCCATAGCCTCATCCTCATAGAACCATGGAAAAAGCAGGAAGGAAGGGACGATTTTATCTTCCAACCCTTGGAAAGTTACTCTCGGAGCAATGAGCAAGCGCCCGAACCTCTGGGGTTGGATCTTTGTAAAACTCTTTTCTCACCCTGTCTTTTAATCTTCCTACTTACGAGAGTTCCCATTCGTCAACGTGGTAACAACATACGTGTATTTACTTAAAGACGATGACGCGTTGGAATACACCCTGCCGTGTCAAAATCTTATCATTCCCATATTGCTCCCAAGCTACCGCGACCTTGACACCCAGTAGAATGAAAATTATCGAGAAAATCCATAGTTATTATCCTTTCGATCGGGAAAGTACCATTCCAGTTAACAGTCCTTTTTAGTGGGTGAACCCTATCAGGACAGGAGGGTGACTACGAAACGGTCCGTTCTCTCTTCCACCTCGATTCACGATGGATACGCGTATTCGTTGTCTTTCTTTGGTGTTGGTGCAAGGTCGAACGGTGTGGGGGCGTGTCGCCTCGATGGCGCCGGCTGCTAATGGCCGCGCGGCCTGCCAGACTTTAATTTCCTGCCGCTTCCGCGGACCCTTTGCCTTTACCTCCTCTTCTCTCTCTCTCTCTTTCCTTCTTCATGCGACTCTGTTTCTATCTCTCTCACTCTCTCCTCTATATCCGAATCTACGGGCAGCAGTGGGAACCCTTTGCAGCCTCCGGCCCTTTCGGTAGCCACTGACGGACCACGCTGCGTCCTTCGACCCCACTGTTCTTCTTCTTCTTCTTCTTCTTCTTCTCCTCGCCGTACGATGATTTGCATGAAACTGCTCTTGATGAGCTTCCTCGATTCGCCCCGGAGGTTCATTATCTAAAGTCTGCTTATTCGACGCTAACCGGCGTAGTAGTCCTCTTTCCGACGATCGAGGAGTCCATCTTTGTCGAGTTCGTCGCCAAAAGCTAATGAGAGAGGACCCCCGACGTGTTCAACTTCTGAACAAGGGATAGAAATAATCTCTTGGAAATCGAGACTCTGATATTAATTGACTCGTCAGGTCTACCAGTTTAACATATATACTGCTATATATTCGGTTGGATGAAGATGTTATAAAGTCTTGATCGAAGGACATAAGATTCGAGCTGAGCTTATATGACAATGATTTGCATAAAAGTGCGGAATATTCGATCATCGGGATCATTTTTAAGTCGAAACTTTCTCATCTTTTCTAGAATAGAAGGGCCAATTTAGTGTCATTATATACCCGCCGGTATAAAAGATACTCCCTCGAGGTTGGGCTTGCTTTTTAAGTCGATTTAGGTGCGATTATGGGCGAACAGAGCGGGGCCGGTCCAACGTAGGGGTCGATTATTTGGAGCGTTGATTAACCTTGTCTTTTTTCGATGATCGTTGCAGGATCATCCGGGATTGCGAGGAACGCCGCTGGCAATGTTGGCGGCGCAATGCAACAAATTGAGCAGCAAGAGCCCGCCGCCACTGGCAGACGCGGCGGTCGGCAAAGGTTTCCATCCATGGAAGAAGAGTCCTCAGAGCAGCGGCAGCTCGCCGCAACACTCGTCGGGCGGAGGGGGCGGGGGAGGGGGCGGAGGAGGAGGCGGCGGTGGTGGAGGGGGGTGTACGACGACGGGAGTAAGTCAAAGACCGACGGCGACGAGCAGCGCCGGTAGTACGAGCGGTGGTTACGCCCGAGCACCGGTCACTTCTTGCGCTTCAACGGCACCGCAATACGGCAGCGAGCTATATTTTCCTGGTACCGCGAGCGCACAACCTGCCGGGGATCCTCATCACCACCAGAGCAGCCTACTTGGAAAGGTCGAAGGCGCGACACTCGGGTCCGTATACGGTAGACACCCTTACGAGTCGTGGCCGTTCAACGCGATGCCAGGCGCTACGCACGGGGGCATAAAAGCCAGCGACGGTTGGTGGGACGTTCACGGTGCCACGGCCGCCGGTGGTTGGTTAGACGTAAGCGGCACGGTCGGCGTCGGAGTTCATGCCGCGCAAATGGCCAATTACTCGGCGGACTACTCCACAAGCCTAGCACTGGCCGGCAATCACTTGCTCACTACGGCCACTACCGCCGGGCACAATCTGCTCCAAGACACGTACAAATCTATGCTACCCGGGGGTCCGCCCGGGTTCGGGCTCCATCATCACGCAGCAGCGGCGGCCAGTGCCGGTGCCGGTGCCGGCGCCGGGAGCCCGCAAGGAAGCGGCGCCGGCGTCGGCGTAGGCGTGGGCGTGGCCGGCGGGGCTGTTAGCCAAGCACCCTCGCCGCGCTCGCAAAGACGTTACACCGGTCGTGCGACCTGCGACTGTCCTAATTGCCAAGAAGCCGAGAGACTCGGTCCCGCCGGCGTACACCTCAGGAAGAAGAACATCCATAGCTGTCACATACCTGGTTGCGGCAAGGTCTACGGAAAGACGTCCCATCTGAAGGCCCACTTGCGGTGGCACACTGGTGAGCGACCGTTTGTTTGCAACTGGCTTTTCTGTGGCAAGCGGTTCACACGTTCGGATGAGTTGCAGCGGCACCTTCGAACCCACACCGGCGAAAAGAGATTCGCCTGCCCGGTCTGCAACAAGCGGTTCATGCGCAGCGACCATCTCGCGAAGCACGTCAAGACCCACAGCAGCAGCAGCAGCGGCAGCAAGGGCAAGGGGGGAGCGGGGAGCTCGTCAGCCGAGTCCTGCTCCGACAGCGAGGACAACGGGAGTCAGCAGAGTCCCACTTCCAGCTCGGTGCCGCCGCCGCAGCCGCCACCGCCGCCGCAGCAGCAGCAGCAGCAGCAGCAGCAGGCTCAGGCTCAGGCGCAACAGCAGGCTCAGCAGCAGGCGCTGGCGGCGGCAGCGGCGGCCCAGGACACCAGCAACACCAATTCCCAGACCACCACCACCAATCTCGGCCATCAGCCGACAACACCCATGACCCCAATACAGATGACCCCACCGTCTCTGACCGCACACCATCCCCACCACCCGCATCTCCCGCCTCTAATGCACCATCCGCATCATCACGCAACATCCGTACCGGCGGCCCATCATCCGCACGCGGGGATGAGCATGCACTGAGCCCGGTGGGGCCCGGAGCCGGTGCCTGCAGTACATCTGCCGCAACGACCCTGGGCTCCTCCTCCTCCCTATCCTACCCCCTCAACTTGAACCTTATCCAGAATCACGTCAATGCTCATCCTCATCATCATCAACACCATCACCAACAACAGCAACAACAGCATCATCACTCCAATCCATCCTCCCATCACCATCATCAACATCATCAACATCACAATCAGCAACAACAACAGCAACAACAACAACAACAACAACACTCTCGACAAAACAATTCCTATTCCATACAACAGAATCCTGGTACACCCGGCTCGGTACAGACTCCTTCACCCTCCTCCCCCGCGCCTGTACATAGTCTTTAAGCCGATAACGATTTTCCTAAAACCTTTCGTTTCCTCGGAGAGCAGGAACGGAGGGAGCAGCCTGCCTCTCCTTCGACCGCTGTGCACGCGGATTTTGCTGACTTTGTTACTTGTAAATACTATAAATAGTGAGCGTGTGCGTGTGAGTAAGAAAGACAGAGAGAATGGTAACGCGTACGAAAGAGCAAACGGGAGAAAGTGAGAGAGATCCTATATATATATATATAAATAAATATAAAATGATATATATTAATTAAGCGGTGTAATGTAAAATACATATACATATATGTACGTAGGTATGCACTCTCGCGCTGTACGATACACAGACACGAGTCGTCGTCGTCGTCGTCGTCATCGTCGTTTCCCCTTCACCTCGATCATCCTCCTATTTACTTAAGCTTTGCCCGATTGTACGGCGAAGAAAGAGAGAGAGAGAGAGAAAGAGAGAGAGAGAGAGAGAGAGAGAAATAGAAAGAGAAAAATGAAAGAAGCGCAAACGCGTCTTCTGGGCGACGTTCGGTCATAAGCACGATGCACTTCCGTACAAGTTCCAATCGCGGTTGCCGAGAGATTGGTACCGACGATGATTAACGAATTTCATTGTTAAATCTATCATTTTGTTGTAGAAGCGAACTCCTGAAGGTCTTGCGTTTGGAACTTGAACTCGGACGATGTCCCATATCAGCTCACCACCCTTTCAACGTAATAACATACTATTATTAATGAATTAATTAATAATTATTAAT